TAATAAAAGATGCTGTGCCGGCCCCACCCCCAGGGCTCACTGAGACAGCAATTGAGACTGGGCATGGTGGTGCGTGTCTGTAATCCCAGCGCTTGGGAGGCTGAAAACAGGAGAATCACTATGAGTCCGATCTATGTAATGAGACCCTGTGTAGACGCTGTCCTAAATACTAAATAAATAAATAAGAAAGGTATAAAAATAGTGCTAAGCCTTCTAAACTTCTCAGGGCTCAGCCAGCCCAACACCCCAAGGCAGGCTGAGTTCTGAGCTATAAGACCCAAGTTATGAAACCAGACCCTACACCTGACCTGCTTACAGCTTTGTCAACTAACTACTACCCTGGCACATAGTAGGTGTGCAGTAAGTGTATGTGGCATACACTTACTGACCCCGTGACCTTGGGTAAGTTCCCTCATGTCTCTAAGACTTTGTTTCCTCATCTGTAAAATGGAACTAATGACAGCAGCCTCCAATTCAGAAGAATATTTTAAGACTTAGATGAAACAATGTGCACGAATCACTTAGCGCGGGGGCTGGGATGTGGGAGATGGACCACGAGGTCCCGGAATCACTTTTTTTATATCAGGGATCAAACTGAAGACCTTACGCTTGCCAGGCAGGCACTGTGCCACTGAGCTATATCCCTGGCCCAGAATCACGTCTCTTGCCCTGAACACTTAATCTAATGTGTTCAGTCTTCCACCTCTCCTCTGAGGTACTTACCAGAAGTTGAATCTCATGAGGCAACTTGTTCAAAGTTAGTGGGTCATAGATGGCAGAGGAAGGTCTAGGATTTGAAGCCGGGACTTATCGTCCTAAGCACGAGCCTCACCAGTGTACACCAGGCCATGTGCTCTGCTAACCCTTTTATGTTCCCAGCCTGAGGGAACATCCAGAAAGACATGCTTACCAGCCATGTGACCATGAGCAAGTGACTTTGCCACCCCACACCTCAATGTCTTCTCCCTGAACAATGGGAAGATGAAGAATCTCTCCAACCTGGAGCTCAGGGTCCTAAGTATGAAGAATGAACAGGGCTCCGTGGTGTCTGCTCCTTTCCAAGTCTTCATACGTGGTGGCAGTCACAGCGAGGATGGAGGTAATGGTGAGGGTGATGTGCCTCAGCTGCCCTTTCCCCCTCCCAGCTGACTATGCGTGTGGTGGTGATCGGAGCGGGGGTCATCGGGCTATCGACTGCCCTGTGCATCTACGAGCGCTACCACTCCATCCTGCAGTCACTGGACCTGAAGGTCTATGCAGACCGCTTCACCCCACTCACCAACACTGACGTGGCTGCCGGCCTCTGGCAGCCCTACCTCTCTGGCCCCAGCAACCCACAGGAGATGTAAGTGGGGGTGTCATAGGGTAGTCTGGGGAGCTGGGGGATGGAACTGTAGAGGTGACACTCTCCATCATCATCACAGTTTTCCTCACCAAGTCCCTGTGGAAGCCTGGGGATCAATGTAAAGAAACTGCTGAGCAACTGGGTAGCAGCACATGCCTGTGGTCTTAGCTACTGGGGAGGCTGAGACACGAGGATGCTTGAGCCTCCAAGTTTGGGACCAATATGGGCCACATGGCAAGATCCCTAATTCAAGAAATTTTTTTAAGAAGGCAGACTGAGCAGGTAGATCACTGACTCAAAAGTTGGATCAAAGCCTTCATTAGAATTCATCAGCTACATGAGCCCAGGCTGGACAAGCACCCCAGGGGTTGTGATGAGCGACGTTTGGCCTCCTTGTTCTCCATCCTATGGATGGGGAAGTTTTTGTTTGAATGTTTCTGTGGGGTGCAGGGAGCGGTAGGCATTGGGGGTGTTGCAGGAGGAGACATGCTGGACATCTGGGTCTAGGACGTGGCCCCACCAGGCTAGTTAGACCTCGTGCCAGCTGATCTGGAGATTGTTGTCCAGCTCAGCGCATTAAGTGACCAAGGTTCTGGGTGACCCTTTCAGGGCGTGGAACCAGCAGACCTTCGACTATCTTCTGAGCCACATCTACTCTCCCAACGCTGAGAAAATGGGCCTGGCACTGATCTCAGGCTACAACCTCTTCCACGAAGCTGTTCCGGTGAGTAAAGAGGCCTTGACCTTAAGGGACCACGCAGTACGGCTGGGGCCCTGAGCCTGGGGATACTTTGAGTCCTGTAAGGCAACCCTGCTCTCCTTCCAACAGATTTCAAATTGGGCTCACTTCACTTTATTACCTTTTATTTCTAGAGAGGCAATGATGAGGCCTTGTTATATTTTCCAGGTTGGTCTCAAACTCCTGAGCCCAGAGATCCTCCTGTCTCAGCCTTCCAAGTGGTGGGGACTATAGTTGTAGGCCACTCTGCCTCACTAAAAATAATTTTAACCAAAAGGGAAGGGAAGAGAGGGGAAGGGGAAGTAAAAAGAATTATAATGTGTTATTTATATGTACAATGAATGAAATCTCTACAATGAGTGAAATCCTTATATACTACAAAGATGTACAAATAAAAAATTAAAAGAAACAAAAAAAGCACAAGTAGAACTTAAAATGAAACTAGCTAGGTGTGACAGCATACACCTATAGTGCCAGCTACTCAGGTGGCTGAAGCAGGAAGATCACTTGAGCACAGGAATTCTAGGCCAGGCTGGGCAACATAGCAAGACCTCATGTTGTAAATTGTAGAGGGCTCTTCCTGGTCTTTGTCTCAGTCTGGGAAGTTTATATTTGTAATCCCAGGGGTAAGTTATTGGAATCCCATCAAGTTAATTCCAATCTACCATGTAGGGGACTCAAGTCAACAATTTCTGACGTTGCCAGTGAAGCAGAAGACCCAATACTATTATGGACTACTGGACTCT